AGGCGCAGAATATGCGCGAGTGCAGGATATGTGCAAGTGCAAAGTGCAGGCTATGCACGGTCAAAAATGTACGATATGCAGTCGAAATATGCACGATATGCACGCCGTAAAAACGCAGGATATGCGCAGCGCAGGCCATGCGCCGTCTAAAAATACACAGAGTGCAGGGCAGGAACATGCATGATATGCACAGAAGCAAAGACACTGGAGATGCGCAGCAAAGATCATGCAAAATATGCACAACAGTTACAACTCACTAAATTCGAAGTAATTATTGACGCTATGTGGCCCTGGCCAGCGGCTGGGTCAAGACCAACGGTCCAGAATGAGCTGAGACCATAGAATGTCCCTGCAGCGTTGTTAGACAATGCCAGGGACCCAAAAGAAACGAAAATATGCGATAATATCGCACCAAGTGCAATTAAATCGCAGGATTTGAGCGCCCAATGAGAGAGGGAGGGAAACCCGAATAAGCGTGCATCTAAAGCGAAGAGGCATTCGCAGCTTCCAGGGTATGGGGCAGGGAATTTCGTAGCGAATGGGCGGCCAGAATTCGAAGGAATGGACTGGGATTCCTGTCTAGAAGATCAGGGGGGGTCAGCAGCTCGAAATGGGCAGCAATGGGAGGGTTCTCAAGGCTGGGGGATGTAGGTGGGGTCGTCATAATGCCAGGATCGAGTCGAAGAGTAGTGTATATGTCGAGCTGTAACTGTGAAAAGAGAGGGAAATACTCAGCTTCATGGATGGAGCTGGGGTGTACCCCAGAGACACTCTTATATAGCATCCAAATTCGAGCTTGAGATGGATTCCGTAGTGTACAGAGATTTCTGCAGATAGTTTCGAGTTCTGGGTGATAGTCAGTCATATAGAAGCATAAAAGACTGTGTAGAATGAGCGCAGAAATGGGAATTTGTTGAGGAGGAGATCGCCGGCCGGTGGGTGGAAGGAGAGAGTGAGCTCACAGCCACCCCCTGCTCTTTGGCTCTCTCCCTCACAAGATCATGCATTGATCTCCCTCTCTCACTCAATGCATCCACATCGACAAGTTGTGCTTGGGTTTTGGACTTTGGATTTTGGCTGTTAGTTGGCAGTGCGTTGACACGGCATTTTGGTTTACTAGTTGGCAGTGTGTTGACTCAATACTTTGGTTGTATTGGTTGGCAGTGCATTGACTTGATATTTTGGGCTTTGCATCGCCATCTGGATGCTGTCACTACAAGGGATCTTAATACATCGTATTAAGCTCTGACTTGTGATATTGTTGGTTGTGGTTGGATTAGTGTTGGTTGTGTTTGTATAGAAGATATTGGTTGAGATACCATTGTTTGCTATATATAAATTCTTGTCGTCGACTTCGTCTCCGCGACTATTGGATCTGCGTCTATTGAGAGTTGTGATACTGGTGCTCTGTCCACCCCGAAGCCCTCGCATCTTTCACACACTGAGAAGCTGATTACAAGGAGTGTGAACGTGTTTATATTTGGAGTTACTTTCACAGTAGATTCACTTGTGAGCGCGCCCTCAGCATTTCAGCAGGAGCGACAACAACTTCCTTATTTACAGTGCTGGTACCATCACCATTATTCTTCTTCTCCTTCTTTTTCTTCTTTCCCTCATCCTGCTTCTCCTTGCCTTTGTCAGATGATTGACCATTAGGCTTGAGGTTGGGATACTTCTTGTAGCAGGATGCTGCAATGTGACCGGACTTGTTGTAATGAGTGCAGCAGGTGGCAAGGGACGGAACGGTGGAAATCTTCGAGTTCAATGTCATGTCAAGGTTCTCAATCTTGATATTCCCTATAACGCTGTTCTTGACATCAACCGGTGATAGGCTGGCTACCAGACGCGCTCTGCACCAGCTCTGTAAGGGCATATTTTTGCGCTTTTTACAGAGTTTACTCTTGAACCACTCGGTGTATTGTGTCGCGGTTGACAGTGTTGCGCTCAGTAGGACTTAAGGGTCTACTGCCCAGTTGACGGCTGTGGATAGTGTCGACGATAGCAAGGCAGCCAGACCACTACTGTGGAACTGGTCTTACGAGTCTACACCAGGCTCAGGGCCATTAGTGACGAACGCTTGGACCGCGACCATTCCCCAAAAAGGAATCTTTTGTTGTGGCAACTTCTCAAAAAGGGTCATTCTCTGCAGATGGGAACTTGGGTTGAAGGGCTGAGCAATGTGCGACGTTCTCAATAATACGGCTACTACTGGACAGGACTTGGCATTACGAGATTTAAAACCATCTTGTCGCGGCAACTCCCGGTTTTGAGTTGGACGTTTCCTCAGATCATGCCACGACTACGACTTGTCACATGTCAGGATCCATTCGATCACGGGACATTGTGGACGCGTTGCGGTGACACTTCCAAGTGTCACGGCAAGTCGCGCCCATACCCAAACACACTAAAATCGACACGGCTAGATCCGTGAACCGAGCCATGTGGGAAACGACTGGCATGCCTAGGGCCATACGGCTTCTTGGGGCACCCACGTTGGTCTCACTTGCCAAGACATACCCGTTGGCCAATCCAGCACGTCATATTCCAAAGTATGACGCGGTGGGTTGACCCACATCCAAAGTATCATATGGACTATGGGGCGGGGTCCTGATCACTCAGGTCCCGTCCAATCGTTCAACTTTTCAATTACCCTAGAAGACAACCGATCTTAGATAGCGTAGCTACTATGCAGTTGTACAGGACTTTACTAAGCATTGTCGTAGACAGTATAAGTAGCACGTCGTTTCTTTGTATTAGAAAGCTTTCCCCCGGACTGTGAATCACTCTCATTTCAGATTGTTTTGTACAATTTGCATGCCGCGTGATTCCACCCTAAGAAGTTCTGCCACCCCTGCCCGGTTGCGACGAGTTGCTCCCTGAGCACTTGTAGCTACTGTGATTTGAGTTTGAGTTGAGACATCAGAAAGTCGGATTCGCCGCATCTGGTTTAGTCACGGCATTTAGTGTCGTCGCCTTCGGGCTTTGTTGAGATCGTTCCACACCTCTTGCTTGGCAGTGCGTCGACTAGTTGTGCTCGGGTTGTTTTGGTCAGTTGGCAGTGCGTCGACTTGAGAACTTTGGTTCCACACTTCTGGCTTGGCAGTGCGTCGACAAGTTGTGCTCGGGTTTTGGACATTGGATATTGGCTGTTAGTTGGCAGTGCGTCGACGCGGCATCTTGGTTTACTAGTTGGCAGTGCGTCGACTTGACATTTGGGTTTACTAGTTGGCAGTGCGTCGACTCAGTATTTGGGCTTTGCGTCACCATCTAGACGCTGTCGCTACAAGGGATCTTAATACTTCGTATTAAGCTCTGACTTGTTCTATTGTTGGTTGTGGATTGGATTAGTGTTGGTTGTGTTCATATAGAAGATATTGGTTGAGATACCATTGTTTGCTATATATATATTCTTGTCGTCGACTCCGTCTTCCACGACTATTGATCTGCATCTATTGAGAGTTGTGATACTGGTGTTCTGTCCACCCTGAAGCCCTCGCATCTTTCACACACTGAGAAGCTGATTACGAGGAGTGTGAACGTGTTTATATTTGGGTTTACTTTCATAGTAGATTCACTTGTGAGCACGCCCTCAGCATTTCACCGGGTTTGAGGAAGCAATAGGATGATTGGCCAGATAAGAGGTGACAAAGCCCCTGCTGGAAGCAGGCAAGGCGGCGAGCATGAGAGTTGCAAAGAGGTAGTTGGGGATCTCAATTCCTCCTTCCGAACAATGGCGACAAAAAGTCTCCATCTCCAAGATTTGTTTTTCAATGGTATCACCACCGTGAAAGGTGGTGATGTTCAGGAGGCAGTACTTGACAAAAGTATCAATGGCATTTGGTTGGCCATAATCCATTGCCATTTTTGCAAAAACCTTGTGTGCAGTGCGCTCCTACTGGTCATCCATAAAGATTCCCTTGTGCAGATCCTGGGTGATATAAACCCGCGCAAGATCCAGTGCCTTTATTGGCAATGTCCCATTGATACTGGCTGTCACCAGCCATTCCAAGACACTCCATAGAACCAGGGTTCAAGGTAGATGTTCTGTTAAGTGTAATGTGAGTGGTTTTAACCACTCCCCAAGTGCCCTGATGCATGCAGATGCTCATGTAGTTGTCCGACCACGTATTGCAATTGGTGCCATCAAAGACACTCAGAATGAAGTTGTTGAGTTTCTCAATTCCCAACATGGTGGAGAGATACTCGATAACATCAGCGGTTTGGTAGTGAAGGGAGGGGAATTTGATATAGGGAGCATCACCAAATAGAGATCGAAGTTCAGAAGTCCAATTTTCCTGACAGTGAAAAAACTCTTTGTTGTCGTGTTGACCAAGATTGTATAGATCTCTCCAATTAGTGTCTTCAAGATGAATATAAGAAGGTCCCTGAGCACAGTGGACAACAGGAAATAGGATAACCCCAATGGGAGGGTTGTCTGGTGATGACAGGGTGATAGAGATGGAGACTAGAGCAACAGAGTCAGCCCTAAGTTCTCTGTAGACCCAGAAACAAAGATCCCAAGTGCCAAATCTCTGAAACAAGAACGACTAAGCGTCCCCATCCCATCCAAGATGCCCATATAAACGTGGGAAATGATGACAAAATAAAGCAGTATAGTAAGAGCCCATATTTGTATCAAAGTAACATAACTATATATGTTGGCAGTGGCAGTACCTGACAGTGACTACTGCCCTCGCAGTTTGTCACTGGCCAAGGGACACGTGCCCAAGGCCGTCCCTAGCACTTGGTTTGGCCGCCCATCTTCTTCCTTTTAAAGACATGCATACATGCAGAGCATCATTGCATCAATCCTTGTAATGTCTTCAGCCCGCAGGGTCCCTTGTAAGGAATGCAAGTCAACCCTAAAGGATTGTTTTGCCTGGAAGAGGAATTGACCTCCAGCAGCTGTTGAGAGCTACTACACCATAACGTAAAAGCATGTGAGCAATCATGGACGGAAAAGCTAACAACGCATCTGCCAACTGAATGACTCCCTGACGCCGCTGGCGTAACCACTTGAGGGTGAGAGCACAAATGCGAGGATGTAAGGGCAACCTCGAGACCCAATCTCAGAGTTCTGGCAAGGGAGAATCCAAAGTGAACAAATGTGGTAGCTAGGTACAAGACCGGCATGCCTGGCAAGGGAGAATCAAAAGAGAAACCCTGTTGGGGATTCTCCTTGCTAGGCGTCACTATTGATATGATACAGGAATAATAGACCGCGCAGCAACAAACAAGAACAATAGGAACAATAAGTACAATGGCCATGACAGAACAATAGGAACAATGGCACCACCTGCCATCAAAGAGAAGTGCTTGGCGCGGCGGCCCAGGCTGCTGCGCGTGACAGCTGACAGGTCACACAAGCACAATCACATGCCAGATCCCAGCCAGATTGGTCCAAAGCGGGGGTTTCCCTGACAGAGGACTAACATCTAGCAAGTGGGACAAGCACACAAAGACGGCACTCTAGAAGGACTGAACAAGTGAAAGATACTTGCCTTAGCAGAGGGAGTAGTTCAATGTTTCTTGATCTGCCGCTAGTGGTTCAGGTGGGGCCCATAACTTGTCACAGACAATATTGCACAGTGGAGATACGACCAGTAGCAATCACCTAAAGAGACAAGGTCTCAGCAAGTGTAGAAGACAGAGCTGAGGATATGGAGCTAACAGTACTAGGTTTATATACCAGCCTGGAGCAGATATCATAATGTCATAGTGGAGTAATGATATCATAGATGAGTAATGGATGACACAATAATAAGGTCAGGTATGAGATCATTGTGGAGCAAGCCAAAGTAATCTAAGAATAATACATATGATGTCATGTCTACATACTGTGATAGTTGCTAATACAAACAAGCTTCAACAGAAACTCCATCCGCCAAGAATGAACATGTGCATCTGTGTAAGGGCAACTCCTGCCAGCCCGAAGGAAGAGAGCACACAGCACACAACAACCTCACATGAGTCTGAGCACAGAGGGGGATCCTTAGAGACTATCAAATACAAGGGAGGTATACTACTCACCTGAGCACAGAGAGGGATCCTTAGAGAACGGTTCAAGGATCCATGTGCCCAGGTGTCACACTATATAGTCAGTTGTGACAAGTGACTGATGATGATGGGATATCACTTCCATGGAACAATGGCAGATGACAAGTAGATGATGACAAACCCAGATAAGATAGTGAGTGGCTCAGAGGGGCCAGTGGTGGCCAGCTCCTGAGACGCCAACAGTGGAAGGCCACACTGGAAGAGCCCAGTGGCCAGGCCAGTGCCGGGCCGGCCAGTGGAGACATCGGAGGCGAGGACCAATGCCCGACTGGGAAGAGGGGTGTTGCAGATGAGCCAAGCCTGTACGGCAGTAGACCACATCCGCGGGAAGAAGGCCGAAGTAGAGGGGGAAGAGTGCGTATGGCAGTAGCACTCCCTGGTGCAAGGAATCGGGCTTGGCTAGACTGCTTGCGGGGATCCAAAGGAGATGGCTGGGAGAAGGAGGGAGAGGGCGGGTGTTGGCACAGATGGAGATGAGGATCGGAGGGGGAGGAGGAGGCTGGGTGATCAACAGGTCAGCAGAGAGGGCGCAGTGGGTCACGTGCATGATCACGTGCCCAAGGAGTGCGGCATCCCCTGACAATCTGGCAGAGTCTTTGAACTGGCTCAATGTCAGGATGAGTCATATACCTTGAATTTATGGTGCAGAAGACAGTTCAATGACTCCCACAGACCACAGGAGTGTTGATTTCGACATGCTAGTCCCAATCAATCAGGATGTGGACCCAATGTTTTTTCCCAATGCAGCAGCAGAAAGCCCATATTTGATCACAAATGAGGCAAGAAGTAAGCCCAGCTCATGTGCAACATTGGGGTGGCCGGTGGGCTCAGCAGCCAGAGCAGAAGAGGCTCTTGAGGATGGGGTTGCAGAGGTCACAGCCATCTCTGAATCACCCTCAGCAGCAGCGCAGTCAAGAGCAACAAGTGTTTTTGGATCTTCAAGTAATACATCAGCTCTGGAGGACCCACAACTGGCCTCACCAAGCAAAGAGGACTCCGAGGCCAATGCAGAAACAGGAGCAAACATTGTTGACTTGAACATCACCGCAACTCCAATTGCACCGCCAGAGCCTGCCCCTGCTGTCCAAGATGGATGGATTTTGTGGTTGAAAAGGAAAGCCCTTGAAGGGTGATTTAGTGATAGTATTGGCTGATGAAAGGCTCACCCAAAAATCCAGAATGGTGTATTCCCCCGGATAATCAAGCATGTGTTGGGACGCCATGCAGAAGGATCTTGTTCTGGTTGTGGCACTTAGCAGTTTGATCATAAGTGCAGTATGCATCAAGCTCAGCTTGCAGCCACGGGATGAAAACCCAATGAAAGACCAGACTAATTGAGAGAAATTAGCACTGATCTTGAACAAAATAGCACTCACAATTGAAGAAGGACCCCAAGATTGTACCAGCCATTTTTCACTCCTTTGTCCAAGATATCTTTGAACCCAGGGGTAAAGCGACATTGCATCACACTCCACATAATCTCTGGCTCTACATTCTTCTTGCTGCGCATGTAACAGTGTTGAGAGCTTCAATTGTGTTGAGATAATCACTGAGAATGAGTTGTGGATTGCTGTTGTTCGACCAAATTCCTGTCTGTAGCATAATATCCCAGTGATTTGACTGCGAATATATTGGGGGTTGAGTAAAATGCTCTATAATTATCCCAAAACTATTTGTTGAATTGAAGGACCAGCAGGCTACCTATGAGCAAGCTAAATATGAGATTGAGTGGCTGTGCTGAAGACACTCAGAAATGTGTTTCTTGGTGTCTCTAGCACAACCTTCTGATCACATGACTCCCAAACAGGGGACCGGACCCTGCCACTTGTTGGCCTTACTGCCTTATCAAGTGAATAAAAAGACTAGCATGCTACCTAAAATGGAATCGCGCAAGAGGCACTGGATGCTCGCTTCGAAGACTACATAGTCACATTTTTACACTAAACTCAGATCTATTGGGGATATCTACGAGCAAAATCACTTGTACACTCCAACTGGGACTGATCGCAATATCCCACGTGACTGGTTGGTGGCAAGGCGGCAGGCAAAGTCTGGAGTTCCAGCGGCAGAGAGAGCACTCAGCGTAACACCTCTCAAAGTCTAGGATTGAAGGTATACGATGAAATGCTGAGGGCGTGCTCACAGGTGAATCTACTATGAAAGTAAAGCCAAATATAAACACGTTCACACTCCTTGTAATCAGCTTCTCAGTGTGTGAAAGATGCGAGGGCTTCGGGGTGAACAGAACACCAGTATCACAACTCTCAATAGACGCAGATCAATAGTCGCGGAAGACGAAGTTGACAACAAGAATTTATATATAGCAAACAGTGGTGTCTCAACCAATATCTTCTATACAAACACAACCAACACTAATCCAACCACAACCAACAATATCACAAGTCAGAGCTTAATACAAAGTATAAAGATCCCTTGTAACGACAGCGTCCAGATGGCGATGCAAAGCCCAAATATCAAGTCGACACACTGCCAACCGATACAACCAAAAGTACTGAGTCGACGCACTGCCAACTAGTAGAACCAAAATGTCAAGTTGACGCACTGCCAACTAAGACAACCAAAGTACTGAGTCGCCGCACTGCCAACTAGTGAACCAAAATGCCGCGTCGATGCACTGCCAACTAACAGCCAATATCCAATGTCCAAAACCTGAGCACAACTTGTCGACGCACTGCCAAGAAAGAACTGTGGAACCAAAGTTCCCAAGTCGACGCACTGCCAACTGACCAAAACAACCCGAGCACAACTAGTCGACGCACTGCCAAGCTAGAGGTGTGGAACGATCTCAACAAAGCCTGAAGGCGACGACACTAAATGCCGCGACTAAACCAGATGCGGCGAATCCGACTTTCTGATGTCTCAACTCAAACTCAAATCACAGTAGCTACAAGTGCTCAGGGAGCAACTCGTCGCGACCGGGCAGGGGTAGCAGAACTTCTGAGGGTGGAATCACGCGGCACGTAAATTGTACAAAACAATCTGAAATGAGAGTGATTCACAGTCCAGGGAAAAGCTTCCTAATACAAAGAAACAACATGCTACTTATACTGTCTACGACGATGCTTAGTAAAGTCCTGTACAACTGCATAGTAGCTACGCTATCTAAGATCGGTTGCCTTTTAGAGTAATGAAAAGTTGAACGATTGGACAGGTCCTGAGTGATCAGGACCCCGCCCCATAGTCCATATGATACTTTTGATGTGGGTCAACCCACCGCGTCATACTTTGTAATACGACGTGCTGGATTGGCCAACGGGTATGTCTTGGCAAGTGAGACCAACGTGGGTGCCCCAAGAAGCCGTATGGCCCTAGGCACGCCAGTCGTCCCTCACATGGTTCGGTTCACGGATCTAGCCATGTCGATTTTAGTGTGTTTGGGTATGGGCGCGACTTGCCGTGACACTTGGAAGTGTCACCGCGACGCATCCACAATGTCCCGTGATCAAGTGGATCCTGACATGTGACAAATTGTCGCCGTGGCATGATCTGGGGAAACGTCCAACCCAAAACCGGGAGTTGCCGCGACAAGATTGGTTCAATCTCGTAACGCCAAGTCCTGTCCAGTGGTAGCTGTATTATTGAGAACATCGCGCATTGCTCAGTCCTTCAACCCAAGTTCCCATCTGCAGAGAATGACCCTTTTTGAGAAGTTGCCGCAATAAGAGATCCCTTTTGGGGAATTGTCACGGCCCAAGCGTTCGTCACTGATAGCCCTGAGCCTGGTGTAGACTCATAAGACCAATTCCACAGTAGTGATCTGATTGCCTTGCTGTCGTCGACACTATCCACAGTCGTTGACTGGTCAGTAGACCCTTAAGCCCTGCTGAGCGCAACACTGTCAACCGCGACACAATACACCAAATGGTTCGAGAGTAAACTCTGTAAAAAGCGCAAAAATATGCCCTTACAGAGTTGGTGCAGAGCGCGTCTGGTAGCCAGCTTATCAACAACGCCCAGCATCTTACTGTGCAACTCCCAAAGAAACGGAGGAGAATTTGCTGAGCATAGGCCGGTGCTTGGTGCGCAGTTTGACTGGGCTCAATTCTACATTGTTACACCTAAGGAGCATCTGCCGCAGATGCTGTCAACCCTCTAAGGGGGGGGTTTTTCGACCGATTAAGGGGCCTTAGAGGGGGGGGGTGCATCTGCGTTACTGTATCAGATTTTTACCAACCCAAATTGAGTAACACGTCAGATTATGATCAATCTTGCCGTCACTGCTCTTACCAGCTCATGGCACGCAATAGCAGGCATGGCAGCGGCACTTACATCTCTGTAAAACGTCCTGCACCTAGCCCGACAAAGAGGCGAGCCTTGGGGGATGTAGTGCATATCAATCCCAAGCAGCGGCACCGCGCAGCTGCTCTGCAGGCTGATCTGGATGCATTACTGGATGGAACAGTGCCTCCCTCTGCTCCGGTGGCTACTGTTACAACCAGTCCGGTGTCTGACGACAATCTGGCGCAGCCTATGGACCTTGATGACCCATTCCTCATTGCTAACAATCAGCAAACACATTGGACAGAGCCATCTGTACTTCGCCCAGTCGCTGTGGTCCAGCCGCAACAGCATTCAAAAGCTCAACCGTCCCTTACTTCTCGGTCATTGTTGTCCACGGACAACTGGGAGACACTTCTCCCAACTCTGGAGGCTTCGTACATCAAGTTCTATCAATTATACCATGGCAGGCCCCGGCCATTGATACCCGACTCCATATCCCACCAGTGCTCAGCCTGTGTGTCAGGATTCACTACAAGTAAAATTCGGTGCTTGTACCCCACACGTGAGTGACTTATATACAGCAATTCTCATATTTGATGCTGCATTCACAAGATATCACGCGTGTTACAATCCGCACATGCAAATGTGCTCCAGTTTCAATACTCCTACTCCAGAATGGCATATTTCCTGGAACACCATGCCAGCCACGCATTGGAGTATCACTTGAAGTCCTTGACTCATATCAAGCATCATTTGAGCGCTCTGGTGATGCAATTACAGCATTAGCAGCATCACTGGCGACTATTTACGAGCGGAGAGGGTTTAATATTGGGCCAGAAAATGTAGGAGTCTATTTCCCAAGTTCTCAAATGAGCAAAAATTAAGGCTTCATCAGGATCCCTACGCGTATATTGAAGATCCGTTTCGGAATACACTTACACAAGTTGTGCAGTGGTCATCCCTTCTTCGGATCCGTCTCGAGGCACGTGTCAATGCATTCATCCGCACAAAAGAGGACACTCTTTTCTGTGAAACCGATACCCAGTCCTACGATGTGGATGCATCTGCATCGACGTCTAAGGATAGCGCAGATGCATCGGCGGCATCACATACTGCTACTCCCAATCCACTGCGATCAACAACATCATCTGCAGATGCATCAGGACACAGCTTGGTGCGAGGACGAGCTGATCGAATTCTTCGGGAGCGCTGCCCTTGCTGCTTTGGATTAGAGGAATGGGGCCGCCCACTTGAGAAGTAGGATTCATTTGCTAGGAGACAGCCAACATGATCTAACATTTTACCAGAGGCGGAGACGTTCAGCTGGGGGGAGATGGATGCTTCAGTTTACGACATATTCGGGCTGCTGGCAATGGCCCACTGCCATTCTCTGGTAATTATTTCATTACTCCGGCTGAACTTCAAGCCGTGAAGGATCGCATTACCTCTGCTCGCACAAAACCACCAAGGACTTACGTGACTCGCATTTCGCAAGAGGCACTGGACTCGTGTCAAGCCTCATGGGATGCGGCCAACGAAAAGAAGCAAAAGAGCGACCCAAAGCAGTTCGACTCGACTGGCGTATTTGTTCTCACATGCCGACATTCTCAGGTCCTGTTCTTGGCTGACATTGATACTCCGGGAGAGCAACAGTGTTACATCGTTGCACTATTGGATAAGGTGGTGTCGTATCTTCCACGTTCCGCAACCATTCTTCAAGCCTATGATGTTGGATGCGCCCTAGATCACTCGTGCAATTTGGTCCGTACCGATGCATTGGTATTTGATCTTACTAATTTGATTGCTAGTATGCCCTCCTTGCACCAACTCTGCGCGACAGAATTGCATTTGTGATCAATATAATGCACTCTTTCGGTCATGAATGGGACTGTCAACTCGAATACAGCCCAAGATTCCGGCCTGGAATGGGAATTTCTGATATGGAGGGTGTTGAGCGCTTTTGGTCGCGGATGCGGAAGCTGATCGCGGTCACCCGTCGGCAATGGGTATCTAGCTTTTTCCTGTTCTTGTCCAACGTTCTCATGTGCCATCTTCAGAACACACGTCGCATCTGGATGCTAGACGAACATACTGCCTTCATCAATGAAGAAGGCTGTGACAATCTTGGTGATTGGCTTGATCGCCAGCAGACGCAGAATCTGCTCCCGAAGTATCAAGATGCTTTGAACATGATCAGAGAGTGTCAAATTCCTGAGAGTGAGCTCCGTCAACAGTGGTTTGATCAAAAGAGAGCTCAAAGAACAAAGCCCACGAGTAGGTGGCCTCTACACTGCTTGTCTCCTTTATTGAATGAATGATAACAGAACGCTCTGCTCGCTTCCGTAAAGAACTCGACAAGGTCATCGCGCTACAGACAGAGATTGAGGACGTCAATACCGCAATTGAGGAGGCTCGTAAGAGCATTGAATCTGCCGGAGGATGTCGACAGTCTCTAGCGCACCTTCTTGAGCTAGAGGAGTCGCACATGGAGCTCAGTGATCGCGCAGATGCTCTGTATGCCTCGCTCAACCTTCGTGAAAATTTTCCTCAGCTGGTTGGCCTGCCTGGTGATTTTGTGAAGACACTTTTGGTTTTGCATGATCTCAAAATCAGTATCCGGAAACGCGCTGTGGGATCATTCTACGAGATGGAAACTTTGGATCGTGCGGTTGGAGGGCGAAAGGAGGCACTTGGTAAATTCTCTTCCAAGTCAGCTAGAAAACTACTCAAGTTCTGTCTGCTCAGGAACGAAGCTTCATCAGCAGACTCGCAAAGCAATGGCAAAAAGACACCCGGTCCTCTATCGACAGATCAACCGCTTCAATTCACTATGCGAGAAGATTGGAAAAGATCTTCCTGCTGACTGTAATCTTCCTATTCCAGCCCCGCTTCCTACGCGACTGGCTGCGCTCCGAAATGACATGACACTATACGAGGATGTCTGTGTTGTTCCTGCCATGGACTGTGTTCCTCGTTGGATTGAGGACTCTGATGTCCGGGATGGCATTCAGAACATGCATGTTTTGGATCGGTGTATGGAGGAGATGGACCGGCTCAACGCTGAACGAGCCAATCTACAACGATCTCTGCATCAAAATGCCGAAGTTCTTCGCCGATGCATCAGCAGCACAACAGGTTTATGTCTTGTAATCCTGGACTCAATTTTTCTTCTCATGTGTCTCCACAGATGACACACTTTTATATTTTCTTCATAGGTTTAAAGATCAACATCTACGGCGCGAGAAGAGATGGAAAAATGCCTTTGGTGTGTATACCCTGAGCCCCCAACTCGGAGGCTACATCAAGATTGCTGCTGCCTACAATCCGTTGCCATTGTTGAGCAATATCCCGAATGCAAACTCTGGTCTTTCTCACTTGGGTAGCAATCAGATTCAGATCGGAACTGCACCTCCAGTGCCATCTGATCCGATTTCAGCTCAGATTTCTTCCCCTCCTGTTTGTCCCACCGCCGCACTACAGGCCAGTTATCACGGAAATTCGATGATTCTGCCGTTCTCAGAGTGGACCCAGGTCCCATCTCCACCGCCTTCATTTCTCACGCATGCAGATCCATCTGTGGGGAGATCGGTTCCACAGCCCTTGCTCTTTCCACCGTCGCAGTCCCCAAATCTTCAAGGAGATGCGTCCAACTACGAGGACCTGAGCTGGTCTTCAAACACTCACGGAGACGTCTCTGATATCGACGATTCGATCGAATATCTAGAAGCGGCCAGTGACGATGAAGCTATTGAAATCCTCGAGTCTATTGAGGATTTAGAGCTCGAAGATGCAAATGACACATCCTTATTTGATATCAGTCAAGTCAGACTGGACATCAAGTGGGGTGATTTGCCAGTGCGTACTTCCAGAGCATCTGCGTTGCATTTCTGACCAAAATAGAATCTTACATTTGACGTGAATCTCTTTCAAGACCTTCAATGTCGCAACAGGGAGTTCAAGAAATTCTCGGCTGACCTTCCACATGTCATTACACATCCTCGTGGTAAATCAAAAATCACCATAGAGCCCGAGGATCTGGCTCGCTTCTGCAATCCTCGAGGTCTGCTTAGCGGACATGGGATTAACGGAGTAGCTGCATCGCTTCAGACATTATTTCTGGGCCCGTACTCTCCATACGCTAATCAGGCGCAACGTTGTGCTCTGTTAAGCACGTACGAGCTTCCCCGGATCCGAGGACAGACACCAGATTCGTTCCTCTGGAAGGAGCTTGAGCCGACTCAGTACTGGGAAAAAGACATCTGGATCTTGCCAATTCATCGACCAACGCAGAGGCACTGGGTTATGGCTGCAGCATTTGTAAGCGAGCAAACAATCTATTTTTTCGACAGCCTTTCTCAGAAGGGCGGATTCCGGAAAGAGCTCAAGGTCTGTGTCTTTTCTACACAGACCAGGCTCTTTTTGATTGTTCACAGGAATTTATGGTTCTCATCTCGCGGATGATTGTACTTGCAAATCGACATGATAAGAATCTGCTTGTTTCCGCAGATGGCTGGTCTGCGCAACCGCTTTTTCAAGTTGTGCGTGAAACTCTTTCATTTCGACTTCGACAAATTCTTACTCTTCATGCACAGGGTCAGCCGCGACAAACAAACAACTACGACTGCGGGGTGTGGATCTTGGCTGTTATGGGAGCTCTACTGCGCGGCTCTCTGCTTCCCGAATTAACTGAGAATGAGGTTGGTTTAGCTCGCCTAACCTTAGCTGAACATGTACGAACATTGCCAATGATATGACGATGTGATATCTGTATACCTCCGTCTTCAGATCGCATATTCAAGCTCCGAGTCTGATATCTAAAGCGAAAGAAACTGGAGATAGTACAGATGAATGATGGTACGTGCAGTCCAATGAGCATAGTCCTGAAGCATTCGCAGCTCTCGGGATTGGGTGTCTGGATGGTAGTGTCCCTCAGACAGAAGGATTTGGATGTGATCCCAATCCCTGTACTCGATCTCCAGCTTGTGACGCAGCGCCTTGAGGAGTGCTTGTCGTTTCCGCCCTTGCCACTGCAAGGACAATACTGGGATGCGCTGCTGCTGCTCCCGTAGTCGTACACCATGCAGCACAGCCGAGAGTGAGGCAGTATACTCGAGGTATTCAGTGGAGAGAGGATCTGCGGGGTCGCTGTCTGCTTCAAAGGGAGGTATCTTCTTACACCGAGGCAGATCGCTTTCGTCCAGGTTATCTGGCGATTGGAGCGCCTCCTTGAACAGAGGGTGATCAGACGGTAGAGCTTGTTTTGCTTCTGTGAGCATTGCGGGTGTTGGAGGAGCAAGGCCAGGAACACATTCAAATACTTTGGCTGTCTTCCGGCGGTTCACAGTGCGAGGCTTTTGTGCCCGAGCAAGTTTCACGCTGAGCATCTGTAAGTATCTAGCCCCCAAATTCGATGCGATTAGCTCAAGGGACAGACCTGGGCTTGCTAGCATATCGTAGACTGCTTTCCCGACCAGCCACAGCCTTCTGTGCTTGCGTTGAGTGAGTGGAGGAACGACCCATTGATGAGGTCAATAGAGAAGAGGTGTTACCGTAGCGTTTGTTCGAGTGATCATGGCCATTTTGTGCACAACGACTTCGATGTAATCAGTTTCATCTGGGTAAGTTATATGTTATGCGGGCATGTCCCCTGAATGTATTCCGATGGTTTCTAACATTCCCAGCAGGGAGGAACCTTGCAAAGACATTGCTCTAGAAATGTTGACCGCTATATGAACACTGATTGGCTGCCTAGTATGTCCGCTCCGATGTCAATCAATCATCAATCACAAGTGACGCAACGCTCATTGAAATGCAGAGCATCGGTCCCAGATTTCCCGACCCTCTGCAAAAGAACTGCACACCAACATCTGGAATATGACAGGGTGCTGCCGCAAAATAAAATCATGTTGATTTTGATCAAGCGCAAGGGCGGGAGGAAAGTTGATGGCTCTTTGTACAGCCCTTTTCGTCCTCTTTACACCATCATACTTTGCATTGTGAATGTAAGTCGCGCTCATTAACCGTGAAAACAAGTTCGCACTCACACCAATCAGTATTCCTCATCCACAGCTCCCACAGAAACGCGTTGAACGCGCTTAAACGCGTCAGACGACGCACATCTTAGTATGTACATCCTGACTCTTCACCCTCTTGCCTGCTCACATTTTGGCGGCAGCGATGGACGACAATCCTGAATTGACTCGACCACTACAATTTCCAAGTCCTCCCCCAACCTTTGCGACACTCCCGGATGTCCCGCCTAGCTCTTCGCCCGCCTACTCGGAAGACAATCATTGGGCCCTCTCTCGAGTCTCCGATCTCGACACAGCTCCTGAATCACTCGATACCCGATACTGGGCGGAGCAGATGGGAGTTCCAGAGGGAATGTTCGTCGATTACCTGAATGTGGTGCCGCAGCAGATGGGAGGAGGGCCGAGGTACGAGGAGGGTGAAGAGATGTACAGGGAGATTGAGCAGGAGGGTGGAGGTCCGACACTTCGACCAAAGATGGCGCTCTCACCAACAAAAGTAAATCCAGAGCTCGAGGCAATGGCAGCGCGACGGGCAGCAAGGCATCAGCAGGAGGAGGAGGAGAGGCAGCATTGGGAGGAGGAAGAGGGGCAGTATCGGGAAGAAGGGGAGGGCATACAGCGTCCAGCTGTTCAACAGGTATGTTAACAGTTGTATCCGAAGCAGAGAGAATCCTAAATGTTTCTCTATCCAGCACTTGTATTCGCTGCCACCCAGTTTGTATCTGCCTCCATCACGGCCCTCCTCGCGTCCATCTCCTGCGTTCAACCCACCCACTCGCAGCATGCCCCCTTCTCATCCGGCATCAAAAAGTGGCTTGCACCGTGCACCATCGGCAGCCAGTTCACGACGGTCCCCATCTGCAGCACCCTTGCATCGGCCAGCATCAAGGCAGGCACCCTCCGTTCACGACATAGCGGAGGGTATGCTTCTGCTCAAAAAGCGCGTAGTTACACCCCACCCTCCATCGGCTCCGCCAATCGTAGTTGCCCCCGATGCATCTGCGTCACACTTTGTCAATCCACAATCAACGCTCCTCCATCCGGATCCCCCAGAACTGCCCGTGATCCCGGAGACTGCAGACGAGGAGCAGGCAATGTCGGAGCATGACGCAAAGGAGAGGCAACGGGAGAAGGGGAAGCAGAGGGAGGGGTATCAGAGCGAGAACGGAGACGAGGGGATTGACAACGTGTTTGGTGACAAACCAGACGAGATCTTTGACGCGTTGGAGACGATGCTTGACGGGACCTTCAACGACGGGGAGTTCTCCGACCCCAACACCACCCGCTATGGAGAGCGAATGACGAACGAAGCCCACGAGAAGCTTGTGGAAGGTCTCCGTTGGTTGCTGGCTTGTGTGGGCTACATCGGCGAGCTCAACGACATCTCGAGCAAGCACATCATGCGTCATCTCTGCCAGGCGTTCAAGATTCCCTATTCCCGTTCCCTGAACAACTGGAACGACTTCATGACTCTCTTTGGCACCAATCGGGAGCGCTTTGCAAAGCTGCTTCCTCAATCTGTTGAGCCGGACCTCGAGTACTCCCAGCAGGTGAAGCTGGCCTGGGTCGAGTTCCAAAAGACGCCCAGATGGCAGGAGACCTTGGACAAGTGGCGAGAGCTCAATTCTGTTACGCTGGAGCAGACAAAATCGGAACGTGCGGGCGACTTCCGCAAGTACATCAAACTGTTCAAGTCACTGGTATGTACCATCACCGATGCATCTGCGCGACTACTAATACGATATGCTTTAGTTTGGTTACATGCATAGCAGGTTGCGTTTGGACGCGAAGATGTACTTGACCGGCGGTCTTGTTGGTACTGATGGCAAGCTGGCTTGTGTCATCTCGACTCCGCCTCTGGACGATGAACGTGTAGGTCTTCCAGTACTGTAACTGAAACGTTCTCTAACTTTTGAGCAGTTTGCGGAGGAGGTTGGGCTCAAGGCTGGTGGATCGCTTAGCGACCAGAGCATTCTTGATGTTGCATCTGTGCTTTCATAGTAAGTCATCTGTCATTGTTTTGAACTTAGTTCTGAACTGTTTCTAGCCAGTTCCACATGCGCGACAACTACCACCAGGGCGATGGCAAAGCCGTTGTGCGCCAGCGACCGTCGCCACCACTGCCTGCAGAAGGATCGGACCTTCGGCCGCCGAGTCCTCCTCTTCCTCCCGGTGTACAACAGAGGACTGTGTCGGGGGCGTTATTTGTGTATACAAAAAACGGAGAGCGGCGTCCAGTCATAATCAAGCCCGAAGTCAAGGATCTCGACTCTGAGGACAATCGCAGCAGGATCCTCACCATCAAGCGTGAGGCTGAGCGACAAAATTTTGTCAATGTTGCCTTGTTTGATCTTGGCCGCCAGCCAATGGGATCCGTGACCGGAATCGTATGGGCAGCAATGCCACAGTCGCTGTTGGCGAACCGATGCATCTGCTTTGGGTTCCCGAGCCAAGTTCGCACCTCTGGATCGGAAAGGGCGTTGAAGGACTTCCGGGGCTCTGGGAACTGGGAGGCGACGACGCTGAAGTGGTTTCAAATGGCATTTCAGTTGCGTACAAGCGAGAACTGGTTCCCTGGGATGGGGCTCTGTTTCATGGAGAAACAAGTCGAGCCAGGTGCGTTTTTTATCCTGTAGATGCATCTGCGCAAGTCTGACAAGATCACAGATGGTATTCAAATATTCACGCATGACTACCGCGAGACTCTTGACCCGAACGCCACCCCCGATGAACTATGCAAATTCTACCTCACGTCGAATGATCGCTGGGTCTACGGTGAAGACACCAAGGGCCGACCGCGCTTGATCAAGTACGATTGCCGTGGGAATGACTGGATCATTGAGCAGAAGCCAGGTATCTTTGCCTGCGATCCTCAGGAATGGTACCGTGGAAAGGGTGCCGGCTACGGTGCTGCGACTTGGGAGGACGACGGGGTCGAGCTAGGTGGAACTGCGTTGAGCGAGGAGGAGGAGGAGGAAGTGCCGAAAGGCAAGGCCAAGGGTAAGGCCAAGGTGAACATCAAGGTAGAGAAAGACGTCGTGAAGGCAGAGAAAGAGGTTGCGAAGGCAGAGAAGGCTGCGATAAAGGCTGGAAAGGCGGAGAAGGCAGCAGCGGCAAAGTTGGAGAAGGCGAGGAAGGCAAAGGAGGCTCGGGAGAAGAAGGCCCTGTCAAAGCCGGTTCCAAAACCCAAGAGGAAGAAGGCAACTGGGTCGAAACGCAAACAGGGCACTTCTGACGAAGATTCCGCCAAAACGTCTGACTCTGTTGAGTCTGAAGATGAGATCATGGAGTTGCCAGCAGACGCCCAAACCCACGACAGCGAGGACAATGGCAAATCGATACCCGCCACTGAATCACCCATCTCCACGACCCCTGTTCGCACTCTGCGGTCGAATTCTTGTGCAGTGATCACATCGGGCACAAAGGGCGGAGCATCTGCGGTCGGTACCCGATCATCTGGACCATCGCAAGTTCAGCAAGTCAAGAAGGTAGTCACCTCGCGCAAGCCTCAGCCCGTCACATCCCGACGGCGGAAGCCTGTCAAATCTGCGGAACTCATTCCGTCGGACGCTGAAGACGATGTCGAGCAGGTGCAGCCACCGGCAAAGAGGGCAAAGACAAGGGTTGTGGCACCAAGCTCCGACATCGAGGAGGAAGACGAGCAGTCTGGCGGCGGTGGGCCTGATGAAGCCGAGTCCTTTGATCCGAAGCCGCCTCATGAGCCCTCCAGTCCAACACCAACCGATGCTCTGTTGGCTGTTCAAGGCCAGCGGGAGCTACTTTGGCAGCCTGGTGCAGATATGAGGCGGCAGCTGGATGCTGCAGAAACGGGGCCTGACTACTACAACGTTACCCCCAGCACTCCTCCAGGCAGCAGACGTGTTGCTACGGTATGGGATCGTATGTTCATTCCCTTTCTTGACTTTCCATTTCTGACCTTGGGGCATTCAGATTCTCGTTCAGACCGTCCGGCTGGTGTACTTCGCCATGGGCCTGGAAATGCCCAGTGGCTAGTTCCGACAACCATCTCCAAGGCATCTGCTTCCCCTCAACCCAGCTTACACTCAGCCTTTGACGATCAGAATCAGCCGGAGGATGAGGATCGCTTTCTGGAGCAGCCTCAATTTGGACGCCATCACGCTCAGCCGCAGATGCATCTGTGGGATTCCGGACCACCAATGGAGCGCACATCTCTGAGTCGGCAGCCTCAAGTTCGACCAGGGATGCACCTGCAGGATTCCGGACTACTTCCGGAGCATATATCTCCGAGTCGGCGCCATCAAGTTCGTCCACAGATGCAACAGCCACATCCCACTGCACTTTCCCGAGGCCCCCCACCTCCAATTCCTCCGCGAGGCCCACCTCCACCAATTCCGCCTCGCCCACGTCCTCGTTCTCAAGCAATTCCGAGACCTGCTCCTACCCCAGCACATTCTTACGACGATTACCAGGATGTGCAGGACACTCGTTGGGACTTCCAAGGCCCATATTCTCGTGAGTATGAGGGGCAGGACGAATATGAAAGTTCGGAGGCTGGCTACACGCAGCAGGAGAGGTATCACAGCCGTGGGCGGTCTCCTACACTGCTGCCCCCGCCGCAGATCCATCGGCGCCTTGTTCCGCCGCAGTCAGGATGGCAAGCAGGCGCTCCGAATTACTCCGAAAGGCCTGTTGCATCCTCGTCTCGCTCAGGCTCTGCTCGGCGAATTGATTCAAGTCGAGCCCAGGCTTTGCCTTATCTGCAGATGCATCGGCCTCCGATTCACTCAGCCAATTCGCCAGCTCCATCTGAGCAATCGGTCGCATCTTTGTCTCACCCACGAGCTGCTCCACCAGTGCAAGCAACTCAGCAACAACTCCTTGCATTTCTGCAGGGATTGAGCCAAGAGGAGCGTCTTGCGCTGATGTCAAAGCGGTAATTTTTCTTTCTACATCCATGCATTCCCCATCTTGTGTACCACTATCAATACCCTCTACATCATCATCTAATCACTATCGAATCGACACACCTCTACAGACCTTCTTTTCCTTGTAGTTGGTATTACCTTATTGTGCAGACAATACAACACTTTGCCTGTAATGAATTGTTCTGAGCTGGAAGAATCGGTCATTAGTGAATTTGCTAATACAACAGCTGGAATGATTTGTAGTGTACCGATGCTATGCGTAGAATGGCCAAAAATGCTTGCCGTGAATCCAGATGATATGTGCGTACACATGGAATAATAGCCATCAAGATCTAATTTAATGCACCAGATGAGCTGCAGATGACACCGTACTGCAGACGCGCTCCCCCCTCTAAGGCCCCTTAATCGGTCGAAAAACCCCCCCTTAGAGGGTTGACAGCATCTGCGGCAGATGCTCCTTAGGTGCATTGTTATGGATGGGACTTGATATTCTGTAGGAAACATAGTACTATAACTCGTGTGCCAAGTTTCAGAGAGAACCATGGACAATTGAACGAGTATGAGGCACAACAATCTTGCCCCAGCTCCCATCAAAAGTCCTTAGAATTTGTTCTTGTTTCGTGCGCGCTGGCAGCCCTTAGTCGATGATTGCTCGCTTCGCTCGCAATGAGTGAGCTAAATCTACTCAATACTGAATGTTTCAACACGTGCTGTCACAGCACGTTGCTGTCTGGGGTCCCTGCATCATCCATCAACTCGCTTACCCTCGCAAATCAGCAGAGCTCTCCGGGCCTCCATACATACGCCACCGGCCAATCTTGGCTCCGGCCGTGCTTGCGTGAGCTTCCTTCAGAGTTTGTGTGACAATCCGCCGCTCTGGCGTTGAGCACCTAGTGGCTGTGGACCCAGGCATTGTTTCAATGTGGCAGCGTGCATGGAGAAAAGGTGCACGGACACGAGGCAAAGCATTTTCCTCCTGCTTTTCACCATGCCCCAAGTTTACGAGCAAAAGACCGACAAGCGAGAGAACGATGAATCAACCTTCGAGCGCGAGAGGGCCAGCGGGAATAAGCTCTGGAGCGTCTACATCTCCGAGGCGGAGAGCTACGATCATGGTCTCATTGATGGCTGGCGCAGCGAGATGGATGGACTGCTGCTATTCGTGCGTCTTCGACCTTTCTCAATCAATGTCCGTCTTTGAAACGGATTTCTTAGGCTGGTCTCTTTTCCGGGGTCGTCACGACATTTATTATCGATAGCTACAAGACGCTTAACCCCGACTCGGGCAGCCAGACCGTGGTGCTGCTCAGCCAAACGGTTCTGTTGCTTAGCCAGATCTCGCAACAACTTGCGAACATGAACAATGAGACTGTAATGGCGGACGCACTTCCTCCCCCTGCTGCTTTTTCACCCTCGGTCTCTTCCCTTGTCTGCAACGTCCTCTGGTTCACGAGTCTTGCCCTCAGCTTGTCGAGCGCACTCGTCGCGACTCTGGTCAAGCAGTGGGCGCAGGAGTACGAGCACCGCACGTCGATGTTCTCTTCCCCCTCTGTCCGGTCCCGCGTGTACATGTATCTCTACTACGGCTTGCGCCGCTTCAACATGCACGCCGTTGTCGGTGTTCCCCCGCTTTTGCTTCACGCGGCACTGGTCCTGTTCCTTGCGGGTCTGGTAGCATTCCTCGTGCCCGTCAACATCATTATTCTGGCTATCACATCTGCTCAGCTGCTTCTCTTCATCTCGGTTTACGGAGTATTCACCGCCCTTCCGTTGTTCTTCTCCGACTGTCCGTACCAAACACCCCTCACGCGAATCCTCTGGTCGCTGAATCAAAGCTTCGGAAACTCGCTGAGGGCTTCTTTGTGGAAGGCAGTGGCTGTTTGTAGCGTCTTACTCCGAGAGAGAGTCGACGTGACAGACCCCGAGAAAACCCCTCCATCTGCGGTGATAAGCCCCGACGCCTCTTCCGAGCCTTCTGCGCCTGCGAAAACCCGTCTCCAGTTCCTCAGCATGACGGACGCCGTGAAATCAGCAGCACTGCACCCTCCTCTCAAGACGGAGACCCAGACACTTGCGTGGACTGTCCGGTCTCTCTCTGACGATGAGGAGCTTGTGAAACTTGTCGAGGGACTTCCCCAGACGATGTGGGATTTCGATAAGAACAAGCCTCGTAGCGTGTATCATGCAGTATTCCAGTCGCTGTTGTGCGATCCGAAAGTCCACCTCGGCCAGCGTCTTGCCGAGTTCATGGCTGGCTCCAACAGCAATCTACTCGAGCCCACGGACCGCCTCCGCCGCCAGCTCTCCGTGCTCCGGGCCATCTGGGCCATCTGCGCGTTCTCTCTTCACATGAAATCGCCTCTGCAAAGTCCGATTGGAGAAGCCCACGTGGACAACGCGCTGCTCGGCTCAAAGTTTCTTGATTCGCCTGACGTGCAGAGCATGGTCCTTGACGTGTCCGCTCTGATACGTCTAAACGTCATTGAGTCTCGGAGCCGAGAATGGGCCCCCACACAGTCGGGCAGCTCTAACGGTGACATCGGCGCCGACGCAGAGAAGCAAAGGCACATGGACATGCTTCGCACGTACGCGCAGTATCTGCTGGCACTTCCCAAATGCGCTGCCACCTTCCAACGGGATGTGACCACTTCCCTCTTCCACCGTTCACAAATCCGATGCACAGAAGCGGGCGGCTACAAAATTCTACAAGACGCTCTCCGAAAGCTGATCGAATACGCCCCAGACCAAGCAGCGGACAATCTCGTCTTTGCCGCTCGCCAGATCATCACCGCGTTTGCCCAGACATCGGACTATCCACGGGGGCTGTATCTCTTCGGTCTTGGGCCGTTCCTTGTCCAGCATCGGTCTCTCGCCGTCTCCGACCCGAGGGCCGACTTGAAACCCTTTTCGAAGCGTCATTACACCCGATACCTGTGCCACTGTTTATGCGACAACTTGAAGAACGAATCGAATCCCCGGGCATCTTTCGACGCCCTCCAGCTGATCTACGGGCAGCTGCTTGACTCCCCTGTGCCACCAAGAGACTTCGATACCCATTTGTCGGTCCTCTACGCTCTGCGCAGCTCTGGGGTTCAAGCAGCCAACATCCGCACGCACCGTTTGGTTGCCAGCGTCCAGTCATTTGCGCTCAAAACTTTTCCGCTGGATTCGTCGGAATCAAGTGATCTGTCGGGATGGGAGAAATTGCCAAGCATCTTCGAGGACGAGGCCTGGTTCAGCACCGTGATTGGCCTGGACAACGGGAAGCTGACGGAGCGGGCATTGGCACCGCAAGTTTACGGCTGTGCATGTGTGGGTGTTGTGACCACTTTCTTCGAGCTGTGTGCGGCCCAGAGCCCGGATCAAACGGAGCGCGACCTGGACTTCGAGACGCTTAACTCAATATGCAACACAGTCAACGGCATTTCCTCGGTGATTCCGCCTGAACTGCAATGCCGATTCGCTGACGCCGCCTCGGAATTCATCAACATATATCCGAAGGACTGTCTTGCGGATGAGTTTAAGCTCTACTGGGTACTTTTTTGGGCCCTCAATGAGCACTGGGGTTGGATCACCGATCTGGATGCATTGCGCGTTCTGGATACGGCTGTGTTGGACGTGCAGATAGCCGACCAGCAGGAAGAGAATCAGCAAGAATCACACAAGGTAAATGCTGAAAGGATCCGGGAAGCGGCTCTGTTCCGAGAACATCTGTCCCGTGAGGAAGTGAAGGGACGAAGTGCATAGAGTGTGTCATTCTCTTGTCATTGAACCTACAATCATGCGTGTCTTCTGTATGTATGATGAGATCCTCTTCAGTGCACGTCAGACCGTCCACCATTGAGTCGTCTCAGTGGACAAGCATGTCAGGGCCGCGGCCGTCAGACAAGACTCATAAGAAGTGCCGGCTTGGCTTTTACAGAGTCTCAATCATACAACTGGTGACGTTGCTGTGGCTGCAGCTGCGACTGCTGCGCCCGCTGCCTGCAGTGTGTTGCCGAAGGTGATCGTCTCAGGGGTCGAGCCGGCAGACTAGATAGGGTGTGAATGCCTGTAATCGGTAGGGCAAAGAGCTTGCATGGCACGAGGATGAAGGCTGGCTGCTGTTTAGGCTGGTATCGGTCGTCCCCGAATAGCGACACTCAGTGGGACATCGAACTCGTTCAGCTCGCTCAGCAAGCTTGGATGCACTGCCGCGAACCACGAATTGTCTGTGAAACGCCAACAGGGCGAATCCGATCACGAGCCCCTGGAATTTTGGTCGGCCTGACATTTGTCGACAGACACACACCACAGCCGTTCGATGACCCGAGCCTGATCTCCATCAACGATAATCGCACCCAGCACCTCGCTCTACCTACTCGGCTGCACCCGCTTCAGCGACAGAGCCATGTGGAATAGTGCAGCCCAGCTCAATTCCGGAAGCCGCCCTGCGTCTTCCTGTCGAGCGCAGGCAAAACCACGGGCGGGACACTCGGCATGGATGTCGACACGACCGACACCAGTGTCGTTGTCGTCGTCAGAGTCTGTATCCATGTTGACGATGAACGCAGCCTTGCTGAGCGCGCGTCGAACACATTCGCCGGGAGCGAATCCAGAGGAAGCTGGTCTATCAGGTATGTGCAGCGGGCACCTCAGTTACCACCGCCATCACCCGGTTGCACCCCCGCGGGGGTCCTCCTGGGTACCCTCAGACGTAGCTCTGAGGGTACCTAACAGGTACCCCCCTGCGGGGCCCGCGGGGGGGATTTGGTCCATTTGGGGGCGGGGGCATATGCGGGGGTCAGCAGGGGGGGTCTGTACATGTCATGTGATTTATCATTGGGAGCGGGCAGGTGGGCGCGAAAAAAAAATGAATCACATGACACATCCAATGGGCGGGATGGCGGCTGATGGCGGGGTCAAAAAATCACGTGATGCACTGCATGAAAATTATCAAAAATGGCTAGCAGGGGTTGGCGGGGGCGCTACTGGCCCCCCGCACACCATGGCGGGCAGTGGGCGCATTATCACGTGACTTTTGGGGCACCTTTTGTGCACCATTCGGCATGATTTCGGAGGTGTTGCTTGATCCATTGCATGCTGTGGCAGACAATGGGCGCATAATCACGTGATTTTCCGCCCAAAAAAATGGAAGCCTTCCCCAAATCATCCTGGTATCATTTCTATCGGTAAATACACTAGTTAAGCATGAATTTGAGCTTAGAAAGCCCAAAATGCACCCTGCACAATGGGACTGGTGATGCACTTGATCCCATCATTTGGCGGGGTCTGCTGCGGGGGGTGCCACGGGGGGTGCTGCGGGGGGTGCTGCGGGGGGTGCCGCAGGGGGTGCCACAAGGGGTGCCTCAGGGGGTGCCGCAGGGCCTGCTGTGGGGTCAACCACAGGAGCAGGGGTAGGGGTGCATTGCATCATATTTTGATCTATCTATTCTCGCTGTGGTCATAGCATGCAGCATAATTATCCTTCATTTTGCCAGGAGTTTGGAGGCTGTGTCTGGGGTTGGTCTGCAGCTACAGCCATGTGACTCCCTGATGCTTCGGCAGGGGCTGGGATATCAAAACTGTGCAATATTGTCTGCATAATCCAGGCATGTAGGGTTAAAAAGAAAGTGTGATTTGTTCATTTTTTGGCTGGCAGGGTAGGTGGGCTGACATCATGGGCTGCATCGGGTCCACTGTCAACTCATTGATTGTTTTGTCTGCTCATTCTATACACATGCCCATTGGTAAACTGATCATGCTGTAGGCACAGTCTAATCTTACCCAGTGGATAATACCACACGTTAATTATGCACCTAATGTCACACTTCCTGTCTGGGACTCATTGAAGTTCATCTGTTCTGTGTTACTTTACAAGCAGTTTGCTTTAGTTGCAACATGAACAGATGTAATAGAGTGGATTTGACATGCCCTGAATTGATTCCTAGGTGGAATATGAGACAATGGATTCACCAGCAAGTTGCCTCACAATAGTCAGAGATTGGTAATATTTGAATTTCAAATTTCATATACAACACTCTGTGCACTCAGAGCTCGTATATTTGCAAGATAGACTGTAGAGACATAGATGGTTACTTTTACTACCTCTGGGGCTGCACACATCCTTGCCATGACCCACTGCCTGCACCCCTGCTGGTACCCCCATTGGCACCCCCGCCGGCACCCCTGTTGGCACCCCCGCCGGCACCCCCGCTGGCACCCCCGCCAGTCTAGCACCCCCCGCTGCACCGGTGCCTTGTCCCCGTGATTTTCTTATATGTAAGATTATGTAAACTGACAGCTCGGAACACGTCAAGTCACTAGCCAATCAGAACCTGTATAAACGTCGTACCTAAGTGTTTACTGCTCTTCTAACACTGTTCCTACAGTTATGCAGCTGAAAACCATCGGAATAAGGTCTCCTTCTGCTATTCTTATTGAATATGTAGATACTTCATATCATTTGTCCACCTAAAATTCGAAACATGAAAAGAGTTCACCATTGCTCAAGGTTCCTATGTAGACAATGGTTCAACATGGTTCACTTTGGGTATGGCAAAAAATATTTTTTCTACACACAAGCAATTCAATACAGCTGAATGATATACTCTTTGGCAGTGTCTGAAACAAATTCTGAGAGCCCTGGACCCTGGAACTATTCAAAAACTTGAAATGAGTCCGAAAAATAGGGTCTTGATAAACATGAGATATGGGCTGGTTTGAAGAGACATGGGCCACCGGTCATGTTGAATATAGTATTTTACAATGTTTCGGTGCCCTACCTCTCATCACATGGCCTCATTTCCCACTAAAAAGGGTGCATACACACTCAAGCTCATAAAATCAATTGTCACCCAGAAACAAGAGCAGTGAAGTTGTTTCACTGGGATTGGGTAAAGGTTACCTAGAAGTCACTTGGGTTGCAGTACAGAAGCTTTGGAAAGTGATTTTGTAGTTGATCCACATTTGGTAGGCTGGCAGATGCTTGTGCACCCCCACGGCACCCCCCGTGGCACCCCCCGCGGCACCCCCTGTGGTTGACCCCCCCCCCCCAACCCCTGCAAGGATTTAATTGACAAATGTCCTGCTCAATCCATTGTAAGAGTCTACAGTATTATTGGATTCAGTAAAGGGCCCAAATGGTGTGTAGACAAGAAGTATGAAATCCGGAAATCAACAATTATGACACCTCCACGGAATATGCTGCAAATGGAGAGAAAAATTTGAGTGCAGACAGACTACCTGAAGCAAACAGACAGAGAAAAGAAACATTAGCCATTTCTTGTTGATGATGTTGGCTGTCCCTGGAGCATGTACTTGGGAGATTTGCCTAACAAATCAAGTTGCACATTTTTCAAATTTTTAGTTTGACCTGACAGCTTGAGCAGACCATGCTAAAATGAACCAAGTCATATATATCAGTGCCCCAAGCCAAGCCAAAAGATTTAGGTAAATTTGCACAGTTTTGATATCCCAGCCCCTGCCGAAGCATCAGGGAGTCACATGGCTGTAGCTGCAGACCAACCCCAGACACAGCCTCCAAACTCCTGGCAAAATGAAGGATAATTATGCTGCATGCTATGACCACAGCGAGAATAGATAGATCAAAATATGATGCAATGCACCCCTACCCCTGCTCCTGTGGTTGACCCCACAGCAGGCCCTGCGGCACCCCCTGAGGCACCCCTTGTGGCACCCCCTGCGGCACCCCCCGCAGCACCCCCCGCAGCACCCCCCGTGGCACCCCCCGCAGCAGACCCCGCCAAATGATGGGATCAAGTGCATCACCAGTCCCATTGTGCAGGGTGCATTTTGGGCTTTCTAAGCTCAAATTCATGCTTAACTAGTGTATTTACCGATAGAAATGATACCAGGATGATTTGGGGAAGGCTTCCATTTTTTTGGGCGGAAAATCACGTGATTATGCGCCCATTGTCTGCCACAGCATGCAATGGATCAAGCAACACCTCCGAAATCATGCCGAATGGTGCACAAAAGGTGCCCCAAAAGTCACGTGATAATGCGCCCACTGCCCGCCATGGTGTGCGGGGGGCCAGTAGCGCCCCCGCCAACCCCTGCTAGCCATTTTTGATAATTTTCATGCAGTGCATCACGTGATTTTTTGACCCCGCCATCAGCCGCCATCCCGCCCATTGGATGTGTCATGTGATTCATTTTTTTTTCGCGCCCACCTGCCCGCTCCCAATGATAAATCACATGACATGTACAGACCCCCCCTGCTGACCCCCGCATATGCCCCCGCCCCCAAATGGACCAAATCCCCCCCGCGGGCCCCGCAGGGGGGTACCTGTTAGGTACCCTCAGAGCTACGTCTGAGGGTACCCAGGAGGACCCCCGCGGGGGTGCAACCGGGTGATGGCGGTGGTAACTGAGGTGGCAGCGGGAAGCATTGTCTCGACTGCAGGGGGGTGAACACCCGGAGATTTTGCGACGGGATGGATTCACGGCCGATGCTGAGCCGTCTTTCTTCGCTTCCATATTTGCGTACGTAGCGGTGGGTCGGAGAGGACGGGTCTAGGTCCATCGAAAAATGAAATCAGAACTCGACGGGTCTCGTGGCTTTGTCAGCAATCATTGCGGATATAGTTGCACAGCATTGGACGTCGCCGAAGGACATTCAGCCAGGGGCATGGACGTTCTCCAAGTTCGTCAGTGAGACAAGGAATTTAAGTGCGGCGTGCTTGCACAGTGAGTTTCAGTGGGTCGTGCGTGCACAGCGAGTTTGAGCACGCGGACTCGCACGTGGCGGGAAACAGACGCGCGATGTTGTAGTCAAATCTGTTCAGCTCGAGGTAAATGTTTTACCTGAGGGCACGCA